GTTTTGGATGCCCCTCGGTTTGCCCGATATGAGACCAGTTATCAGGTCAAACCAACAGGTGTTGCAGCGATGGAAGCGTGCAAGAGAACTGGTTCAGATAGAAGTGATTGTACCCGACCTAAAAAGCCTCTGCATGTTTCTAATAAGCTCCACGAGCAGAAACGTGCTCAAACTAGGATCAATATTGGAGATGCTTTTGAAAAATGGAGAGAGGTTAGAACACAGAAAAATTTACAGACCGATGCAGAGCTGGCTAAACACTGAAGCTTCAGTGTCCACCACATGGCAACCTGTGTGAGCATCAACTCTAGAGAAGAGGGGGTGGGTGAAGACAGCTCTCTACAATGTTTTCAATCTGGACTGCAGTACCCATTTTAAACACTAGGGGTCAGATGTTGCAAGAAATAAATGAAAACGTTAATTGAACAGATGTCTGTCTGCAGCCTGCTTCAATGTCAGTCATTTTTAAACACATTGCAGGTCTGAATCAAGCATCCAATCAGGGCTTAGATTGCACCTTACTCGCCAATCACAGTGACCCTGTGAGGAGAATGTTTGTTTTGCAGGCAAGTTGCCGTGACAACAGTCGGCTGCATTCCATTGGAGTGTTCATGTTGCTTACTGCCAACACATGTAAACATTCTCTTCAAAATAAAGTAAAAGTCTTTGTTCACAACAACAACAACAATAAGAAATGTCTGCCAGGGACTTGAGAAAAGCTCCGCTAAAGGAGCGACTGGAGAAGGCGCGCATCGAGCGCCGACTAGTGGAGGCTGAAAATGCCGCAGTCAGGGATCGCACTGAAGCCAGCGTCAACAAGACGAAAGTGGTGATCAACCAGCTGAAGCGGCAGAATGAGCAGCTGAGGAGAGCTGCAGAAGCTAACAGAGATGCTAATGTGATCAAAGTCGGCTTCTCCGTCAAGGCCCGAGGGGCGGCTGCAGGCTAACGCTTTCGTCAAGAATGAAGACGACCTCTCTGAGGAGGAAGACAAGGGTGAGAAGGACGAGCCCGACGTCCTCTGGCAGGAAGAGCTGAAGCGCCAGTCTCAGCAGATCATCGACTCCAAGTCCAAGAAGAAGCGTGGGAAGAAAAAAGAAGGGCAGGGTCTGAAGTAGATCACAAGGACCGCTCCATCTTACTCCATCAAACTGAAGAATCAGAATCAGCTTTATTGGCCAGGTATGCTTAAACACACAAGGAATTTTATTTTGGTAAACTGTGCTCTCTTTGTACAGAAGTATAACATTAAATACCAACAATAAACACAAAAATAAAAAAATAAGCAAAGACTAATATGTACATGGCTAAATAGGATATTATAAGATAATAGTGCTGAAGTGTGCTGCTTTTATTTTGAAGGTGGACAAACTGAAGTGTGGTGCTTTTATTTTGAAGGTGGACAAACTGAAGTGTGGTGCTTTTTTAAAAAAAAGTGGATAAACTAATGTTTATCCAACTGACTGTCTCCGCTGAAAGCGTTGGGTCCTGATGTTGATACGATTCTGTGTCTTGATTAAACTGTTAGTCACTGTTTCCTGTCCAGCGGGGCGACGCCCCCCCTGGTATGTGATGTTGTGATGTAATCCAACTCCTTATGTCATGTCATGTCACACACACACACAGAGGGGACAGTACACACACTGATGCACACACACACACATTAGAAGTCAGGTCTCGGGTCCTTGTGAGACGAAAATCACAACAGTGTGTAACGAGTGGAAACATGTCACATGGATGGAAAACACATCCTCACACTGTATTACTCTCATCGTATCAGGTCAGGCTTCTCATTCAGACCTTCAAGAACTTCAACAGGAAATGCTTTGTTTTCTTCTGCTGCGCGCAGCGGTAGAAATCAGTCTTCGCCTTTGGTGCAAGTATAAGCCATTTAAATCATAAGGTAACCAATGACAATGAGGTGATACATTAGAAACCATAACGATTTGGGTGCTGGCTCCAAATGACGTCAGCAGCTCAATATGTCTCTGATTCTGTTCAACTGAAGGAGGGAGACGGGCCGTCCATATTTTTATACAGGAAGTAGCTTCAACCGTCACCGTTGTCTTAAAGTCAGGACCAGAGAAGTTTTAGATGTGATTAAAGTTGCTCTACAGCCCGCCCGCTCTGTCCCATCTCAGCATCAGTTGTGCAGTGTACACCAAGAAAAACTGGGTGATCACCAGGCGGTCGGGCTGAATATCTGACATGTTAGATAGGGCCGTGGAGAATTCTGTGTTTGAATTCACACTACTGTTTGTGTTAGCATGATTCTGTAGAGACCTGAATGTTCCTCTGTGGGATAAATTCTGATAACATGAAAGACTCTGGTTCCTCTGATCCGTCCTCTTCTGCAGGGGGACGAGGAGATTTAGTTCATTTGTCTGTGTGTGTCACTGTGTGTGTGTGTCACTATGTGTGTGTGTCACTATGTGTGTGTCTTAGTGTGTGTGAGTGTATGTGTGTCACTGTGTGTGTGTGTGTGTGTGTGTGTGTGTGTGTGTGTGTGTGTCACTCTGTGTGTGTGTGTGTCACTGTGTGTGTGTGTGTGTGTGTGTGTGACTCTCTGTGTGTGTGTGTGTGTGTGTGTGTGTGTGTGTGTGTGTGTGTGTGTGTGTGTGTGTGTGTCACTCTGTTTGTGTGTGTCACTCTGTGTGTGTGTGTGTGTGTCTGTGTGTGTGTGTCACTCTGTTTGTGTGTGTCACTCTGTGTGTTTGTGTGGAGTCCCATCGATGGCGGTCTCCATGCTGGAAATGTTGTCTCAGTCTAACTTTCAGTCAACCTAACGACAGGCTGAGAGCTGGAGCTGAGGCGGGTTTTAAACCTCCTGACAAACCGTTATACCGCGCCCACCTGTCAATCAGGTCAGCTACACGCCTTATTGTGAATAACTCTTATCCTTCATCAAATCAAAACTGATGAGTCATCAAAACATTCACCCCCCCGTACAGTGTGTGTCCATCGAGACATGAGCTAATCACACCTATTTGTTTGTTTTGTACCAAGCTGTAAACATGTTAATCTCTGCTGTAAAAACAGGCTTTTTAGAATGGGTGTGTATGTGACTTCCTGTGCTTCTGCAGCCAGCCTCTAGTGGACAGTCAAGGAACTGCAGGATTTTACACTTCAGCGTCAGTTTCATTTAGGTTGGCGCTTGGCCAACCTCCAGACTGAGATAATTAAAGGTGAATGTTTATCCAAACAGGTGATAAAAAACTTTAATCATCGAATGTAACATGCAGAACGACCTTTTAAAACACAGTGAAAACATTTCACAAACAAAGACCCTCGTGGTCATTGTAGTGTTCAATGGATAACAAGAGAAACCTTTAAATCGTCATGGAAACTAAACCAATAAAGACCCTGTGTCCACCTGGCGTCTTTTCAAGGCAGAAAAGCGCTCGCTGTGCACTGGAGCGATGGCATGAAGCGTTTGTGTGCTGTCCGTCCTGTCTCTATGACAACAGTCTGTTGACAATGGGCACTTTATGAGCGACACTGCTCCGTTTACTTTTGCACGTTTTATATCTTAGATCGTTTATTTCCCAATCAGACGCAGAGCGAGGAGGATGTGGGTACAAGACACAATCTGTAGGCGGCAAAACTAAAGAGAATATCATACATTTGGAAAAGAGCGCCGGTGACATCAACAGCGCCTTTCTGAAAAGTTAAAGAAATTTCCAACGTGAGCGCTCGGAGAGGCTGCACAAATAAAACGCAGGGCGCCGCGCTATTTCTCTGTGTTGTGCTGGTGCTAACAGAAAAACGCCATGTGGACACGGGGGCCTAACAGTAATGAACTCATACATGTTAGCGAGGAGAGGAGATGGACAGATACTGGCACGGTAACACATCACAGCTAACCACAAGAACGTTTCACATCTCTGATGTCAGAATTTCACATCTGTAGCTTTTTTCACACAGCGCCACAAAAACAGCCACCATGACAGTTATACAGACGTAAAGGATCACAAGGCGGCGTGGAGGAGCGGCGCCATCACCGCTTGTCTTTGTGACGCTCTGCAGACGCTCGGCCATGTTGGTGTAATAGCCGCCGTACAAAGAAAGAGATAAAGATTTAAGGTGAAGACAAAAGGTGTGTAGTTGAGCAGTCACTCTGATTGGATGCTGTGCCAGCGAGCCGTCTCCGTTTGCCCCCGACTGCACATCTCCTTCCAGTGTCCCCGTCCCGCCTCTGAAATGTCTCCACCAATCAGCACGCGGCCCAGAATGCTGCTCTTCGTGTAGAGTCGGCCCTGAGGATGCATTCAAGTTCACACGTGTAAGAAGAAGGTTGTCATGGTAACAGAATCTTTACACAATAAATAACATCAAACGATATCGATACCAGTCACTTGTCTAATTTGTAAAAAACAGATTGGCAACTTTTTTCTGGTACCAAAATGTTGCCAATGTATTTGTGCAATTAAGAGAGTGGTTGTTATCGGGGCGCAGTGATTAGTGCGCACGCCCCATGTAGCGGGCAGCCCAGGTTCAAATCCGACCTGTGGCTCCTTTCCCGCATGTTATTCCCCATTCTCTTTCTCCCTGATTCCCGACTTCATCCACTGTCCTATATCTCCATTAAAGGAGAAAATGAAATAAATCTTTAAAAAAAAGAAAGAAAAAGAGGGGCTGTTATGAAAACCCTACAGACTACAGACTGCTTGTTCCTAAAAATCCTCACTGGGATGTTAGAAGCTGAGTGAGGAGCTCTCTGCAACAGTTCTCAGGATGTTTGTGAATACGGGCCCTGGACCTTTTCTAATGCTGCGTTCATGTGGTGTTGGAAACATCAGAAAAATTAGTTTCAGAGTTGGAAAATAGGGGGGCAAAATATGTTTAGTTGATGTCAAGATACTTTTTAATAATTCACATATTTCACGTTTTTTTGCTCAATTATAACTCGTAACAGAGACATTCACACATCTTCTTCATAGTGTCCACGCTGTTTGTTGTTGTTGTTATAACATTCCGACTTTCTGAATTTAAATCATGATGTCGACTTTCCGAGCTGAAAGCACAGGAACACACTGAAGTCAAAAGAACGACTTCCCAAGTCTGAAACTGGGACCTCCGAGGAGCACCTGAATGCAGCATATCTAACGATCCGAGGAGCCCCTGAATGCAGCATGTCTAACTGTCTGAGGAGCACCTGAATGCGCCATATCTAACGATCTGGGGAGCACCTGAATGCAGCATATCTAACTGTCCGAGGAGCTCCTGAATGCAGCATATCTAACTGTCCGAGGAGCACCTGAATGCAGCATATCTAACTGTCCGAGTTGCTCTGATTGCAGGATTTTAAGAGGATGGTAAACGACTCTGAGGCGGAAACATCTGGCTGCAGATGTTCACCCTGATGTGTTTGTTGATGATTATGATATGTCATAATTTTGTGTCTTTTAATGTCTCATAATTTTTTTCTGTTGTAGGTGTAGCTGTCTCGACCAGGACTCTTAAAAAGAGAGATCTTTCTCTCCTGGTTAAAAACATTGAAAACATGTTTTTGGAGCTCTGATGAAGACCTCATTAACATTAACCTACATCTCTGTTTTAAGTGAAATATGTTTTAAATTAATAAACTTCGTACCTGCATGACGATGAACTCCAGGGCCAATGGCAGCTGAGTGATGTCACCTGGCGGCAGGTCGAACAGAAAGGGAGCGTTCCACACCGGGTTTGGACCTCTCGCCCCTTTAGTCTCCTTAGTCCCGATGACTTTCCCCTCCCAGCGCAGGTTGATGATGACGTAGTGGTCTGTGGGAGGGGAAACAAAACGATCCAAGATTCAGATTGATGTCTTATTTCATTCCATGGCGTCATTTCATGTTGAACGTAAAGACGCTGTAAAAACTTTCTTGTCGTGTGTTTTCTTTGATCACAGGGAACAACCCACATGTTCGTCTACATCTTCATCATCTTCTCCGAGCGTCGCCACTGCTCCTAATCTGCATCATCGCTTGTAATCAGGGATCTCTTGTAAATCTGTACTAGCGTGCTAATTGGATTTAATAAAATGAAACCGCAGTGTGTCACTGTCAGACAAGAATCAGGCTTTTATTATGCAGGACATCAGAAGCTGTTTCTCAGGGTTAGGGACAGACATCCAAAACATTTCAGTCGTCTCCCTCTTAACACATCTCAGGCTTCTTCATCTGCTCGCCAACAACGCCGCAGCAGAGTTTAAAACAAGATGAGAAACAAACAGGAGGGGAAATGAGAGCAGGCTGATCCTCTCTATCAAACTGTTTCTGAGGCCAAAGACGAGAAAACAGAGAGCGCCACAGTTTACACGTCGGCCACAGTGCTAAAGGATGTATCTCAAAGTTGTAGATTATAGCAGCACTATAACTCCTGACACGGTACGATACAATACGGTACGATACTGTAAAAGTGGACCACGATTAGGATAATATGACGATAAAGAAATTCTGTCCAGCTGGTGTTTAGTTTCTGGAAGAGAAGCACTGACTGTGCGCTCTGGAGCCTTACATGATGCATTTGTGTACTGAGAATAAAAGCCTCGGCCCCTTTGCTGCATGCCACCCCGCCCCCTCTCTCTCCTCCAAACACTTCCTGTCTCTCCTCAGCTGTCCTATCCCGCCCCCCCCCCTTCTATGTCAGTATTAAACATTCAGGCTGACACTACTACCACCTGACGTCCCTGACGCCCAGCCGGTCATACTTTTCATCTTAGTCACGCTACCCTGTTAGTGCTTTAGCTGTGCTAAAAGTTATATAGCATAACGGTTTATGTAAGTAAACTTTTGATTAATGTCCTTGTGTGTTGTTAACATGTCATACAGATAATTATTGGTTTCTGTTGGCTCACTTTGTATTATCTGTTTTGTAAGAGCTAATTTTATGCTATTTGTCTGTCCTGTAGCTCTTACGGTGTTTCAAGGAGAAAAGGTGTACGTTTATGTTCAAAATATGGAATAAGGCTGAACCTAATTAAAGGCTTCTGAGAAACATCAGTACGCTTCACCATTGTCTGGCTGGGGTTCGCTACACTATGTTTTGTGTTTCCAAAGGGAAGTCCCAGACGATGACTGAGTGTGTCTCTTTCACCTGCAGCTCCTGGTATCCGTGTGAGCTTGGCGAGATTCTCGGCCTTTCGGACCATCACTTTGATGCGGTTTGCCAGAGACTGGTACTGCAGCAGGATGAAGAGCTGGCCCAAAGCCCGTGGCGGCGTACACCCCGAGCTCTTCCTTTGACCCAACGCCTCCTGAGAACTCGTACTCTGAGGAAGAAGAAGAAGAAGAAGAAGATGGAAAACCAGAGAAGAAGCAACAATGTGAGAAGATGAAAATGTCCGCTTTCACTAAACGTTGTGCGTTGAAAACAAGAACAGATCAGGCTGTAAAGTGTTGCCATGCCATCTGAAGCCCTGTTCAGACCGCTGGGATGTGCTTCCACAACGCTGAAACGCTGTCATCACGTCTTTGTACATTCATACTGATTCTGTGATGGCATAATAATGGCGTCCCAGTCTGTGATGTTGTATTGCGTTTCAGCGTTGTGGAAGCAGGGCACAGCTGGAGCTCCACATACACACACAGTCAGACATGCACACACACAAAGCGCTTTGCTCCCTCGCTGTCAGCTGATCCCGTCTCTCCTCTGTAACACCTCTGAAGACAGTATGGGGGGGGGGTCACTTTGTACCTCCATTACGCCTCCACAAGATTTAGATTGAAGGAGAAACGTCACAGAGGTGTAAATATGGTGGCTTGAAACGGCAGTTTGGATAGCGCTAATATTAATGTACAAGGACGTGATGACGGCGAGCTGAAAGGAGCTCATGATTCAGTCCCTCCTCCTTGTCGAGTTTTGTCCACAATGGTTCCCCACTAAAAGTCTAAATCAGGTCCATTTTTATTCATGAGCAGTAGTAATCATTTATTTCGGTCACAATAAAAAAACAAAAACATTTTGACCAAAAAAGGTGTAGGCTGAAGCTTTAGCTTATTACACCTACACTTGTTATTTAAGACACTACTTGTTTGGTTACAAAAATCAAAACATATCAGAATAAAATTTGTTCCAAGAATTTATTTCAAAACAAAAAAACAAAACAGAAGTCACACTCAAAAATTAAGCAAACCGACCTTTTATATTTGTTAAACACCATGAGGCGCCGTATATGGACGTGCGCGAGGAGCTCAGCTGGTCCGTCTCATTTCCAATCACTTAAAGCTGATTGGTCAAATGGATGAACGTTAGACGTAGCCAGGTTTAGAGTTTCAAACAGCCAGCTCCCTGTGGATAGATGTGATATCCAGTGTGAAGTAATGATGCTAATCTCCATCTGATTTCATGTCACATCTTGTCTGCTCGCATTGTTTGGCTTGAGTTAGTCACACTTGGCTGTCATCGAGCTGAACGTCGCCCTCCGGCCTCCAGCGCCTTTCTGAGGCCGGGCAGCAGATTGTGAAGACGATTTCATCAAAGAAGCGAGCTCACGGTTCGCTGCTCCTGCCTGTCACCTCAGAGTCACTCACACCCCCGCACCCCCTTTTAGACGGACGACTCAAACCTTAAAGTTACAGCAACAGATTTGTTTTCAACCTGTCGACTTCTCCAGCTGTTTGCTGGATGCATTCATCGGTCAAACCAACCAATAGAAGAATGGTTTCCATCCCGTTTCAGGGCCATGGGCACGTCCTCCTGTTAGCTGTAGCATTAACTGCATGTAACGCTCGGTTCTAGCCCCCCTCGAAAAAAATGTGTCAGTCCGACGTCATTGTCAGTGTGATATCACTGATCTAAGCCCATTGGCTCGTTGTGGCAAGCCCAGCAGCTCATGTTGAAATTTCCGAGAAGCGTGCTGAGCAACTGACCAATAACGATGGAGCGGATCGGCAGACCAATCAGAGCAGACTTGGCCCACGTGGGGTCTAACAGTGTGGGCTCAACAGAGTGTAGCTGACGGACTCAGAGCGTAGAGGGAACAAGGAGGAGCAGTACATGAAAACAGACACTTTTTTCTAACTTTAGCTATTGTGAACGTACAACAGTAGGTACATAGATTAAATATATGAACCCCCAAAAAGGACATAATATGGGCTCTTTAAAACAATTCAACTGAGAAAGGCATCGGGCGCAGGCGTCATCCTTTTACTGTTTTCCATAGGGTTGTATGTAAAAAAAACGCTGGCAGTTTAAAAAAGAAGTCGAGTGTGAACATGGCTTTAATTAACCTGAATAAGAGAATATGTTTACAGACGGGCTGATGTATCCGAGTATAATTTACATGATGTTTTTATCTCAGCAGCACAAACAGCAACAGAATGACAGCTTTCAGCAGCAGCTCACGCTTCCTTATGCAGCGGACTTTGACGTAACACTGTGTTTCCGCGGCAACAATAAACAAGATGTTGTTACGTGGTCGTTTTAATCTCTGCTCTGTCAGGCGACCTTGAGACTTTTAAAAGGCACCTTTTAATAAAATGTATTCTGATGATTATCTGGCAGTATAAAGTCGGCTACAGGGAGTCAGAATCTAAAACCTGCTGAGTCAGTGTGAAAATAATACACACAAACACGATACGACCTTACTCAGCACTTTGACAACCACACACACAACAAAGGTGTCATTGATTATTTTATAGTTTTGAACCAAACGTTTGGAAACAGTTGCAGGAAGTGTGTCTGAATTTCTAAAAAGTCTGAACACAAACTGAGAAAAAGAGTTCAAAGACTCCACAAACGTCTTTCAGAATAAAACTCAGCATTTAACCGTCCTGTTGTGTTCGTTTGTCAGCGATAATGTTCCTGGGTCAGTTTGACTCGGTGCATGTTTACTCATCAAAAAGAAGTCAGGAACCAAAAGATCCTAAAAAGTTGTGAGGCACAGCCTCCTAGCTTGCCCCGACTCCGCTCGTCACTCTTTAACTTTATTATTGGACTCTTTAAATCAAAACAGCACTCGACAAGGTCTATTTACAGAACAATATACCACTGTTTTTGTAAATGCATGATTATGACCTTGTGAGGAAGAAAAAATGTGAAAAAAGTTGCGTAGCCAGCCTGGTCTGTGTTGCCGTCTTTCCCAGCACAGCGTGCACTCAGATTTCAATACACAATGAATGGGGGATGGGTCGCATCAGGTTGCAGTTACTGGCTCCTGCACCCGCGGTAATGACGGCGTGTGTTTCAGCATTTTATACTGGTAAATTGGTCGCACCGGTGTATAAGACACAGCCAACGTTTAAAACCAAAAAATATGTATTAAAAGTGCATCTTATACACCAGATTTTACAGTATTTGTTTTAGTTTTTTCCCCTCATAGATCACTGACATGATCTCTACTGTAAATATGATCAACTGTTAAAGCTGTGATATGTTTTCTAATCAAGAAAGTAAATTAAAACTAAAATTAGTAATTAAGCAAAATTAAAACTTGTGTAAAATCCTTTTCTTGCTCATTCTTTGCAAACAGCTCAGAGGTTTGTGTGTGTTTTGCTAACTGCGTCCCCTGCAGACATCTCGGGTTACATAAGAGACGCTTTCTGACTGATTACACGGGATGACTCAGTCTGATCTCCCGAGCATGAAAAACCCAGAAGAGAGGGGGAACTCATTTAAGACTCACGTTTTTCTCCTCATGGACCTCATGGACCTTTTTACCATCGCAGTTCTGACGGACATTTTAAATTCTGTCTGCAACAAAAGACTCATGTCAGAAACATAGCATGTGGTTCAGCATCATCAGCTACATCTTTTCTGATCGTTCTTCTTTTTCAAGAGAAGATGAGCTCAGCATCATGTTTGTCCCTGAAGACTTGAAAATGAGGGATACTGTATGTATAAAAGTCATTATTTACAGGTTAGCAATAAAAGCTTCATGAGGTGGATTGGTGAGTGAGTGTGCATTAATAATGGCGGTCTATGGTGTAAACCAGTGGTGTCCAAACTTGTTTTCCTGCAGGCCAAAATTGTCGTGTTAGAATCGCTCGTTTTTTAAATATTTAATATACTTTGTGGTGAACTTTTTGTATTTTTACCTCTTCAAAAGTCACGTAAATACACAACAAGTCATTACAGTGAGAAACTATTATATTTAGAAATAGTAAGGCTTTGTAGATCAGAATCAAAAGGTTGGCAAATACTTTGATTTATTCATTCTACTTTATTTTTTTTCCCCCTCAGAATCAGGCCTGTGAAAGCTTTCTGTAATTAGCTCAGGACATTAAAGGGTTAAACAACAGTCCTCTTGTTTGCAAAAATAGTGTAGAAGTTTATTTTCATAGTTAACCAAAAGAAAAAAAAAGAAAAAAACACACATTGTGCTGAACATTTTCTATTTTAGGAATATTTTTCAGCCCTTGCTAACATGAAAAAGAAAAATAACAAAACATGCCAATCTGAATGAGGCCTAAAATCTTCTGATCCTTCGATTGAAGCCGCAAAAAAATCCCCTCAAGGGCCCGCGGGCCGCACTTTGGACTCCGCTGGTGTAAACAGACGGCACGGGGGGGTGACGTTTATTCCCTGTGATCGCTGCACGACATAGACTGTCTGCACTCCACCTCATGTTGTCATCCCGACAGTTAGAGAGTCGTGATCTGTCTCCTCGTGCATCGTGTACAAATTTCTGCCCCGTCATCCCCCCCACCCCCTAAAATTTCAGAATAAGTCATGCACAGCAATGACGAATCATCAACCAGTCCCCTCACACTGATCTCTTTGTTTACTACAGATGCATTCACCGCCTCCATAAAGGATGACGTCACTGCTGCACATCCTCCCCCTGTACAGAATCATCCGGATAGCTGAGCAGCTCGGCTCTTTCACAGCGAGATCCTGCTCCACACTGACACCCGGAAAACTGTTGTCACGGAGAAAAGAGGAGGGGGGATGATGGATGTGAGGAGGGGAGGGTTTCGCCATATATGGGCATGACAGGAAGGACAGAGGTGAGTACACCTGAGTCTTAAAGAAACACAACAAATCTCTTTTTAAAACTCTGCCTGCTTGACTAACGTCCGGTGAAACATCAGGCCCCCCCCCCCAGAGTCTGTTATTAATGCCCTCTGGCAGCATTTCAGCGGGCGCAGCATGGGCGCTCCGCCAATTTTCTGCACTGTGCTCGTTTGCTCTACCGTCGCTAACACCGACGTCAGCATGACAAACAATAGAGGAGAACACTGCAGTCCTGATAAAACATGTGTCTGACCAAAACAAATACACACATACATGCACACGTGTTCACACAGAGTCTCCGGTTTCAGGCGCAATTTGCACCAAAGATCGACCACCTGAAAAAAAAAGGAGGAGGCCTGAGTGATGTTGGTGCTAACACTGCTAATGTTAGCAACACTTGGCTAATCAATTTCACATCTTCAACATGCAGATGCTTCGATCTCCCTCACTGACAATTTTTATGTTGTGTTTTATTTTGAAAGTGACCGGATGCCCTGTGAGTTTCTTCATCTGACTTCCTGTCTGCGTCGCTCTATTCTGCACAGCATGAAAGCGTGCTCGCAGCGTGCTCCGCAGCCCATCTGCTGGCACGCTCCGGAGATGGGCTGCGGCTCTCGCTGTGGAAGCAGGATCATAAAGTAAAGTGGCAGCGAACGACGCCGTAGTGCGTGGCGCTGACGGACTGCGACGAGCATGGAGAATGTGAAAATTGGAGGTCAGTCTGAAAAGATAACAGGGCACATTGCAAGAATGACTGATAAAAAAAGATATGCCTATTATTGTCTTCTGGGTAGTTCCAAGTTGCCTCTGAAGAGTCCGTATTGTGTTTTGATCCGTTCTGGAGGTGCCAGGCTGTCTCACATTACTGCTAGTTAACTCGAGCTCGAGCTTCCTCCAGCGCTCTGCAGCTGACTGATTTACAGCGCTGTGGGATTTTGGCAAGAAGACGTTTGTTGTTAAAAAAAAAGTGTTTGTGTTTCAATTTGGAACACTTGCCATTAGCTTAGCATAAAGACTGACACGGCTATCCTGACTTGCATCTTTTTTTAGGACGACCCTTTGCAGAGAGAGAGAGAGCTCCAGCATGTGACTACACAACTCAAAATGGCGCCTTTACACTTGAACTGTTGGGGTGCTGATCTCGGACACAGCTAGGCCAGTCCTCTCCAGTGTGTTTGTGCTAAGCTAACAAAGCTTGCAGTCATTTCTCATTTCCCCGGCAGATGTGCAAAGGTTTTGATCTTCACGTCTAACTTTTAGCAAGAAGGCAATCAAGTGTTTTCCCAAAGATTTAAATGATCCCTTCAAGTATTTCACAGACAGCTCACCACTAAGTGGCCATCCTCACTTTCACTGACCTCTTTAGACACTTTAAATATTCTCTGTTTGCAGACAGCTTAACTTGGTTTGTTTCAGAAATCCTCCACGCTTGAATCTGCAGTGTTTTGACAGATGATTTGTGGGAAACTTAAACGAACACAGCGTGTTTTCTTACACACTATGCTATTTATAATGTAAACATTGAATGAGTGGTAAGAAATAATGACCCTGTACCTTTTTCAGCTTGCTTTTAGTCGGGATAAGCTGCCTGGTGTAGGTGGTGGTGCTGTCTGGCTCCCATTCCATGTGCTCACAGGGCAGCTCCACCACGCCCAGTGCGGCCTCTCTCAGGCCAGAGAAGTCTCTGCTGAACACCGCCAGCCTCAGGGTGCAGGTGCGCAGCTCATCCACAGAGCCCACCTGCAGCACAAAGCTCTGGCTGTGCAGGTCTGGGCTGAGGCTGCGACGCCGAGATGCCACCTGCTGAGGGGAGGGGCAGAGGGGAGGAAGGCTGGCCCGGACAGACACCCCGCTGCGCCTCCGACTGGTCCCTGAGAGGCCCAGGATGTTGACCACCAGAGTGCCGCAGGCTGAGGAGAAGAGCAGGGAGAAGTGCAGGAGAGGAGCAGATTTGGACGGGATGGAGAGAGAGTTAGAACCATACTGAGACGGAATTGGCTCCCCCTGCTGGCTGGAGGCTCCAGCAGCACCTGCAGTTAGCTGACTGCTCTCCCTGTACAGAAAACTTTCCCCGCTCACAGTGCTGCGTCGACCAGCCGCCCGACGAGACTTTGACACCAGGCTCAGTTTAGTGATGGAGGGCAGGGAGGCTCTGCCATGGCTGGAGCGTTTAGTGGGAGAGGAGGGAACAGCTGGGGTGCTGAGGCGGCGCATCGGAAAAGAAGAGGCAGGAGACGGCTCGGCTGATCTGTTGGAGCTGGAGTCAGAGGGCAGAGCAGGGAGGTCATCCTCAGAGGGAGAGGAGCTGCTTTTGGAGGAAGGAAACTCCAGCACGTGCCCATCCAGCTCCTCATACTGCTGTTTGACGGGCTGCGTGCACGGAGACGGACTCAGCGTGACAGTCACCCTCTCTGCACGCTGAGGAGACAGGTCGCCTGCCTCCCTGTCCTCCGAGGACACGCTCTTCTTCTTTCTGCGACAGCAAAGGATGCAGCCGAGGACCAGGCAGTAGCAGAACACAGCCAGACCCACAGCCAGCAGGATCTGCAGGTGAACTACAGACACAGAAAACAAAGAGTCCAATCAAAGTAATTCAATAACGTGTTAGAATAACGATGAACAAGAGACGATGAGACAGAGTGATCCGGAAACGACCGAGAAGAAGAAATAAAACACAAAGAGGGGGAGAAGAGAAACCAACAGATTAAATCAGTTTTGTGCTTTTGAGTGAGCGACTCCGTCATAAAAGAAAAGAAAAGCATAAATAAGATATCGTAATCTCTGCATTATCTTGTTGTGTCTGCATTCTGGGCCCTTGATGGGATTAAAGAGGAAGTGTCTCAGGCTTGTAATCATAATTATATAAATGGTAAAGTCACCATGGAGCAGTTGCAGTGCACATGTGATACATTAGAGCCCTTATCCTTAATTTTTCCTGCATGAGCAGAGTCAGGATTCAAACATTTGATGCCTTGTTTTTATATTTAATTCAGATTTCTCTGACATTTGGCCTCGCTCACATAAAAAACATGAAATCCAACACATCATCCCGATAAAGTTCAATGTGTTTGAACCCACTCCATCTGTGTAACGACAACACAGTGCTGCCAGAGCTCCAGATACTGGCGGCGTTAAAGCTGCACCCGGATGTCCATTTGGCGTCACATAATGAGGCTGTGCTGCGGTGAGTCATACATCAGACACAGTGAGGATCACAAAACAAGGTTGGAAAGCTGTGAGCTCGAGCCAGTGACCATCGCAACAGACGAAAACAAGAAGAGCTGGATGTGTTTGATGTTATAGAAGATCTTTTCCTTTAATTAAATATATCGTATTCTTTTTATTTTGGAGTGCTGTGATTGATTAATTTCACTGATTTAGAGCAGAAGAGCTTTAGGTAAAGTACTTCTGTTGTTCAAGAGGAAAACACATCTCATCAGGTGTGTCTCACTCTGCATCATGTAAGATCATGAGACAGTAAAGACCTGCACCAGGTGCATGAACACAAGAAGAAATGCAGGTCAGTGGCGTCAGTGCAGATGAATTTCAGCTCTGTCAGAGAGTGTGTGCAGGAGCAGGCAGCTCCGCAGTCAGTCTGCATTAAAGAGCTTCAAGTACAGAAGGGCATGATGCAGCAGTAATATCAGAGAACATCTAAAATACGACTCAGGCTGGCCCTGCACGACCCGATCACACAAAACATGAGGTAATGCTGAAATCGTGCCTAATCAGCGTTCCATAAAGAAATTTTGCTCCTGCAGGATTTGCAATCCTGCGTTTTTACTACTCATGAGGGGCAAATCTGTGGGTGAGAACATCACAAGCCTGCATCTGTCAAAACAACATGCAGTTACTTTACACCGAGGTTAACCTGGTCTGCAGGGTCGTATTCAATGTGTCTATATACAAACACTCTCACTGTAAAGAAAGTTCTCTGCTATCAGACAGCTTTGACACAAGTCTCCTTCAGCTCATTCCTCCAGCTCTCCTGCACGTTTAACGACCCTTAATAATCAAATAAAAGCATCATAATGAAGAACATGCAACGTCCAGATATATACAATCGTTCTTTGTCTGGAAAAACACACAAACAAGGGAGCTTCAAATGAAAACAAATCCATGACACAGAGAACAAAGATGAAAGGAAAGTAAGCTCAATAAGAGCTCCTACCTGGCAGAGTGTACTGCGACATGTTCCCACAGTTTGGTGAGTGTGTGTGTGTGTGTGTGTGTGTGTGTGTGTAGAGTCAGTGTGAGCGCTGTGAGTGAGAGCAGATCATCGTCCTGCAGCCAGCAGCAGCTTCATGTGGTGACTGAGCTTTTGTGTCAGTCTGTGTGAGTGAGTGTGCGTTAGAGGCACAGCGGCTCAGCCCCCCCAGAGCAGCCGCTCGCCGTCTTTCTATCACAGGTATCAGATCTACACTAACCCAGCTGAAGGCTTAGGACACCAACATAGGACAAATAATAACAACAGAGGACAGACACAGATCCGCTCATACAGTTCAAATAACTCGAGCATGTTATGGTCACAGGACCAGGAGTGGGACTCATCTTTGTCCCGGAAGCTGCGAGCTTGTTTGAATAAAAAACCTTTTGAGTTTGGTGCATTTGGACGCATCCTCTTCTAAAGCTTTCCTATTTTTCAGTCATTTAATTTAATTTATCAGACGCTTTTATCCAAAGCGATGAACATCAGAGAGTAAGAACAACATGACCAAGGATCTAGAAAAGAGGAAACAACGTCAGGAAGTGCAAACAAACAGATAGGAAGTGACCTGAGGCAGAACACAGGTGCTGACAGGAAGTGACCAAAGGTGCTGACAGGAAGTGACCAGAGGCTGAGCACAGGTGCTGACAGGAAGTGACCAGAGGCAGAGCACAGGTGCTGACAGGAAGTGACCAGAGGTGCGGACAGGAAGTGACCAGAGGTGCTGACAGGAAGTGACCAGAGGCCGAGCACAGGTGCTGACAGGAAGTGACCAGAGACAGAGCACAGGTGTTGACAGGAAGTAACCAGAGGTATAGCACAGCTGCTGACAGGAAGTGACCAGAGGCCAAGCACAGGTGCTGACAGGAAGTGACCAGAGGTGCTGACAGGAAGTGACCAGAGGCCGAGCACAGGTGCTGACAGGAAGTGACCAGAGACAGAGCACAGGTGTTGACAGGAAGTAACCAGAGGTATAGCACAGCTGCTGACAGGAAGTGACCAGAGGCCAAGCACAGCTGCTGACAGGAAGTGACCAGAGGCCAAGCACAGGTGCTGACAGGAAGTGACCAGAGGCAGAGCACAGGTGCTGACAGGAAGTGACCAGAGGTGCTGACAGGAAGTGACCAGAGGTGCTGACAGGAAGTGACCAGAGGCAGAGCACAGGTGCTGACAGGAAGTGACCAGAGGCTGAGCACAGGTGCTGACAGGAAATGACCAGAGGCAGAGCACAGGTGCTGACAGGAAGTGACCAGAGGCAGAGCACAGGTGCTGACAGGAAATGACCAGAGGCAGAGCACAGGTGCTGACAGGAAGTGACCAGAGGCAGAGCACAGGTGCTGACAGGAAATGACCAGAGGCAGAGCACAGTAGCTGACAGGAAGTGACCATAGGTGCTGACAGGAAGTGACCAGAGGTGTTGACAGGAAGTGACCAGAGGCAGAGCACAGGTGCTAACAGGAAATGACCAGAGGCAGAGCACAGTAGCTGACAGGAAGTGACCATAGGTGCTGACAGGAAGTGACCAGAGGTGTTGACAGGAAGTGACCAGAGGCAGAGCACAGGTGCTGACAGGAAGTGACCAGAGGCAGAGCACAGTAGCTGACAGGAAGTGACCATAGGTGCTGACAGGAAGTGACCAGAGGTGTTGACAGGAAGTGACCAGAGGCAAAGCACAGGTGCTGACAGGAAGTGACCAGAGGCAGAGCACAGGTGCTGACAGGAAGTGACCAGAGCATAGTGGGCGGGAGGGAGTGTAGACCTGGATGAGAGAGTTTAGGTAAGGAGCAGTAACTGGGAGCCAGTTGAGGGAAATGAACAGCTCAGTGACATGTGCTGTTTGGGGAGGTTGAAGATGAGTCATGCTGATGCATTTTGGATAATCTGCACTCATTTGACAGTGCATGTAGGAGGACCTGCCAGTAAGGAGCTGCAATAGTCAATGGGTGACATCACAAAATATCATGAGAAGCTGTGTACCTCTGGCAGGTGAGGTCTGATCTTCCTCATGTTGTACCGGGCGAATCGACATGACCGGGCATTTAAGGCCACTTGAATCATCAATGGTGACACCTAGGTTATTGGCAGACTGTATCATGGCTTTTTCAGCTCCACCTTTAATCGTCTTATTATCCCTCACATCTCACCTCTTGACTTTCTTTCTTCTTTGAAGAAGAAGTGCGCCACCCGTTGAAGCCACTTGTACCTGGTGGCTGGACTTGGTATTGCAGCATCACATGATTCCATTGCGCCCAAAATACTTTTTCCCATAAGCAGACATTGGGAAAGAGACGTCTAGAAACATATTTACAGCATACACGGAGAAGAAGACACATGATGACAGAGTGAAAGCGTTAAACTCCTTCTCGTCATTGTCTTGGCTCAAACACCTCTACATCAGCACACAAAGAGATGCCTCATCACACACAAAGACCATGTTCCCAGGACCTTCATAGCCTGGACAAGAGAGAAAGAATTCCGATCCAATCAGAGCGAACAATTCCTCACTGTAGGAAGTTGTCCTTTGTAGTAAAAATAGTTATTTAACAAAAGCAGCGTTTTCATGTTTATTCTTTGCAGCATCACTCTGCTTTAGTCCGCCATACATCCCATTAAATGACCCCACTGTGACCTGACTGAACCAATCAAGGCAAGGCAGGCACACACACTTTTAACCACAGCAGCTGCTCAATATGTGCAGCGTTTGCAATGACAGTAGGAAACCCCACAAAGTTCTTACAGCCCTAACTCTCGTTGTGCTTTCAAGAGTTGCAATAAAAACCTGAAATGGGACGTGTCTTGTCGCAGCTGCAGCCATGACAGACACATGTGTATCAACATGTGCATCGCTGCCGTGGAAACACCGGGTGTTATGTCAAAGTCCGCTGCATAAGGAAGCGTGAGCTGCTGCTGAAAGCTGTCGTTCTGTTGCTGTATGAGCCCGCTGTGATAAAAACGTCCTGTAAATTATACTCTGATACATTAGCTTGTCTGTAAACATATTCTCTTC